CCCCAACGGCACCGCGTCGTCATCACGTCGCTCTGTACACCTTCTCGCGCGTTCAAAGTTTAATCGTTTGTGATTTTTCGATAAGCTAATGAAAAATCGATACCTCCCCCGGTGTATTAACCCGGGCGAGGGTTAAACTCTGCCTGGCGAACGCCATAGAGATTCGACGAGAATCCATAGGATTCATAGCGAGTTTCTCCTACTTTAAATAGGACACCGTGTCAACGTCTTTGCGGTTATTAATAAATTGTTAAATACGTAAACTTCTATCCGACCCGACCTACGATCCCTAGCACCTTCTCTGCTGAATCTTCGCAGAGAGGTATCGAGGGATTAGTTACAGGCGATTGAAAATTTCGTCGGTTTTCAGGCGGAGAAAAATAAATCTCACAGCGCCTCTCCAGCTAGAGATGAAGTTAGTGGGGACGAACAAGGCGACGGTGGCGAAGGAACCGGTCCGGAAGACGAAGGCGGTGGAACCTATCTTGAGCACGATCCTAACGAAACGATGGAAGATTACGAGGCGGCCGTCGACACGGAAACGTACGCCTTTCGTCCTACCAATTTTTCGAGCTATCGAGCTATGTATGTAATTTTTCAATTGCAGATCGGAGAAAAGCGAAGACATCAACACCCATGCCAAAGTACGCTTGAACGTAGAGTCGGACGAGGAGGTTGAGGAAGAAGAGGAGGTCGAACAGAACGAGATGCACGGTACTTTGTCTTTTTTCCGTGAACATTTATTTTCTACGATTTCATCCGCGAATATAATTTGTCCAGGCGATGGCACTGACCAAGGAGTGTCGGCCAGACCACGGAGGATGTCCGAATTCAATATGGCTACGAAGACACAACCGATTCCAGCTGGTTCGGCTTTTTTCATTTTTGCACAAAACAACAGGTAGGCAGTGACATTGTGCTCTCGACGTGACATTTTTCCTATCGAATGAAACGTTGGTTCTTCAAATTCTTCTGTCTTCGACAGGGTTCGAGTGTTCTGTCACTGGCTCTGTAATCATAGCTACTTTGGCAACGTGATTCTCGTCTGTATCATGATATCGTCGGCCATGTTGGCGGCTGAAGATCCTTTACGCGCGTCGTCCCATAGAAATCACGTAAGAGAAACTACATAGAAAGTACATAGCGGTGACGAGAA